GCATGTCCATAGGGCTCTATCTTGCCCTGGCTACTTCCTGCATTCTCTTTCCTCTGTTTCCTGTCTCACCAGGCTATGAAGTGATCTGAACCACCATGACCTCCCTGCCATGATGACCTGGTTTCTCTTTTGGTTATGTCTTTCAGGTACTTAGTCACAATGGCCAATATAAGGTCTCTCTACAGTGGTCCACCTCAGCCATAGGAAACCTCTCCATCCTCCATCCCAACCTAAAGACCTGAAATTAAAGACCATCTCTGCTTAAACACAAACTTCTCCCAGGAAAGCATGTATTCTGACAGCTCAACAGCTACTAGTTTGTTAGCATCATGACAATCAATGGCTCAAATTTCAGATGCGAGAAAAGGTACCTTATATAATTAAGCTGTACAGCCAGTTACAGACCCTGAAGCTGTGAAATGGTAACTCTTCATACCAACCTGTTCTCGCCCTGGTTCTTCAGCTCTTGCTGTGGGCTCTTGTACTTGCTGCAGCATTTTTTCCAGTTCTTTCAGTAAACATTCCGTCTCAGAGACAACTAAAATCATGAATACAGTCAAAGCTACATCTTTAATTAATTTCATCTAATTCATAATCTTAACCACTCAGAAAGAACTCTTCTAAATACTACAGGATTAAAAATAAAAAATAAACTTTCATATTTTTAAAAAATTTTTAACTTTAGTTTACTTAAAAATAACAGATTTCTTCATGGTTTTTTCTTACATACTTAGTTTTTGTTATCAGACAGTTTTTATATATGAATTCTATTATGAATTTCCAGGTGAAATTTTCATAATTCTTTGAAAGGAATAGGTAATTTTCTTGATATGTATAGAGCACAAAATACCTTTGAAATATAAGAAGCTCATTAGAAGTTGTTGCATGCTTTTTCTTAATTGGGTCCTGTAGTGGTATTTGCTCTGCCCATAACCTTGGGCTATACTACCAGAAGGAGGCGGTGCTTCTTGATGTTGTAGTTGTACCTGACCTCTTAAAAAGAAAGGGAGAGGGGTCATGAGGCCCCTTTTCCCTGTTTCCTACCGCCTGGGGTGACCGAACTGTGTGGTGGATTTGCTCCCAGTCAGGTCAGAGGATGACTTCAGCTGTCTACTCGGTTCTGTATTCGTGAGCGTATTTCCTCAATTGATATCCTAATAAATTCCCCAGTACTCCTTAAGCAGACTCCCATGGATTTCTTGCTTTAGGGTCTCTCAATTTTGTTTGTAAAGCAGACATCACAACCAAGGGGCTATGGACAGTTGATAGAAGAAGTAAGTTTCCTTTAAAGGGTGTGGCCCTATAGGTCCACCATGCTCCTATAAATGGCACCACACCCATCAGCATTTGGCCTGGACTACTGGATTGTTAAAAAAAAAAAAAAGACACAAAGTTAGGAGAGCAGGGACATAGGGAATGTGGTGGTGAAGATGACTGAAATATCTACTAAAGAAAAAGCCATATATTAAGGGGCAGGGCTGAATGCAGACTCCTCCTTCTTTTCCTTCTCTTTTTCCACTTTCCTGTGTGTGGGGCCCTGTGAGGGAGGGACCACCTCTCTGGGGTGAGCATGCACTCCTGTGGGTGCCTGTGGAGGTTTGAGGTTGGTATCAGGAGTCATCTTCCACTGCTCTTTTACAGTATTCGTTGAGAAAGGCTCTCTCAAGTCAAGCCCAGAGCTCCAGGGACATTTTTCATGGTTTCCAGGGATCCCTTTGCTACTCACACTTGCATGGCAATTAACCACTGAGCCCCACAGGGTTCATCCATTCCTAATCCAAATATGTTAATTGTCTAATCTGATTTTAAAAAGAAAGCACTATGCTTATAAATGTCTTTTTTTGTATTAGTATGAAATAAGTAGGAAAGGTGTTTACTACTTCGTTGAATATATTGAGATTAAAATAATGACCCTACCACCACTTAAGAAAGACAGCCTAAGATAAGGATAGAATTGAGTTCTAATGAACAATATGTATTTGAATTCTCCACCTAAATAAAACGGCATTTTTACTTGACACAGAGTCTTGCTGAAGCAAAGATCAAAGAAAACAGTACACAAGTAGCTTGCTGCATGGCACCAGAGACAGATGAGCCATCTGAGAAGCCTGTCCAAAGACAGCATTACCTGGAGGGAATGCCATGTCCCTCACCTTCCACTCTGACCCCTGCATCTGACATACCACCTTCTATTCTCTGTCATTTTGACAGGTCACCAACAGTCACACCACCCAGCACAGCTGGTATTTCAAGGAACATTTAAATGTACCCAGGAAGGATGTAAGAAAGGGAATTTTAAATCCTGATAAAGCACTATTTTGTTTTGTTTTGTTTTTCCAGACACGGTTCCTCTGTGTAACAGCTCTGGCTGTCTTGGAACTCTCTCTGTAGACCAGTTTAGGCTGGCCTTGAACTCACAGAGATCCATGATAAAGCAATTTTAATAGCAGTACTGACTGAAGTCATGACAGTAAGGAAACAGAAAATCTTCCTGTGGTTGTTGCTACAGCACAGAAAAATCACTTTTCCTTTTACATTTTCCACATTACAATCTGCAGGAATATGCTGGCCAGCATCTCTTTGCCTAAGCATCTTTGTGTTCAATCAACACATTACTTACAGTGAATCTATTGTGAAGCAGGAACTCAGCAGAGTCAGGATAGACCAAAGAGCCTCCTCACCATGACCTCTGCCCAGCCAACCTTAAGTTGACCAGTCACAAAATTAGTCTTGAAACAACCTGAAAGAAGTTCCTTCCACAGTTGATTAGCTTGAACTGTTTGGGAGGCATCCAGGCAGTGGGACCGGGACCTGTGTCCCAGTCCACTGAGAACCCTCATGTCCTCAGTGCATGAGCTGGCTGTTTGGAACCTGGGGCTTATGCAGGGACACTTAGCTCAGCCTGGGAGGAGGGAACTGGACCTGCCTGAACTGAATCTACCAGGTTGAACTCAATCCCCAGGGGAGTCTTTGCCCTGGAGGAGATGGGAATGGGGAGTGGGCTTGGGGGAAGGGTTTGGGGGGTGGGAGGGGGGAGGACAAGGGAATCCGTGGCTGATATGTAAAATTAAATTAAATTATAAAAGAAAAAAAAAAGAAGCTCCTCCCACCCTCGGGAGTAAGTTCTCTGCTTAAAAGCAAAACAAACAGAAACCGCAACTGACATGTTAATTACCTCCCTAGATCGCTGAAGACAATGGAATGTTCCATTCTGGGTCAGAGTACTCAAGATTTTGGTGAGCCTAAGAATCACCTGGGTAATTCACTGAAACATAGATACACCAAGTTTACTGCACCCAAACTAGAGGAATTTCTAGAGGAATGTATGCTTGTACCAAAGCTTTTCGAATGGAATTAACATCCAATGTTAATATATATTTTTTCTTTTTTCCATTTATATTTATGTGTATGTGTGTGCACGCGCATAGGCTCACAGGTGCACTCAAGCACACAAGTGCAGGTATACCAGTGCCACAGTGTGCATGTAGAGGTCAGAGGACACCTTGCAAGAGGTGCTCCTCTCCTGCCTGGTTGAAGCAGGGTCTCCATTGTTGTTTGTGCATGCAGCAAACTCTAGGCTAGCCTCACTCTCCTGTCTGTACCTGAGTCTCTCAGTGGGAATGCTGTGATTCCTGATGTGCACCACCTCCTCCAACTTTCACTGGGTTCTGGGAACTCAATTCATATTGTCAGGCTTGAGCCACAGTGCTCCTGCCCATGGAGCTACCTCCACAGCTCCAATGTTGGTAATTTCTTTTTCATAACCTGTTTATTCGTGGGTAACTAATTGTGGTTACCCTTACACTGACTCTCTAGTTCCCCTCACAGTTTTTTTTTTCTATTTTACATTCTGAATCTATGGAAACTGACATTGAAATGTAAGGTCCTGTTGAAAAGATGGATTTTAAGCTATGCTATAAAGGAAAATAGCAAACAAACCTCTTTGTAGTTCTAACATTAGACTAAAGCACAGTCAGGTTATGATGAGGTGAGTCACTGCCAAGTTCACTATGATCTCTGTTTGCAAGCAATCTGGAAAAGTGTCTGCACTGCCTTTTGATCAAAGGGTTGACAGAGTAATGGAGGACCTCATCAATTGGCCAGGACGCTTAACAGCTTGACAGATGTTGATTTCTACTTCCAAACAACAGGAGGCTTGCTTTTCTATAAGTATTCTTATACTGTAAGCTGAGATTCAAAAATAATGCTCATGAAATGGCAGTTCCTGTAATCTACAGACTCAGTTATCAGAATTGGTCAATGATATCCTCCAAAGCTGGAGACAGAATGAATGCCTTCGCTGACTGTGCAACCAATCATCTCCTATCTGTGATGACTATCCTGTAGTTTCCTGATTTGTTTCAATTCACTGTTGAGAATAGAAAGGGAGAAGGAGGGAGATGGGGATAGGGGAGGAGGGAGGGAGAAAGAAAGGAAGGGAAGGAGGGAAGGAGGGAAGGAGGGAAGGAGGGAGGGAGGGAGGGAGGGAGGGAGGGAGGAAGGGGGAGAGAGAGAGAGAGAGAGAGAGAGAGAGAGAGAGAGAGAGAGAGAGAGAGAGAGAGAGAGAGATCTCCTATCTAGAATAGTACATCTGAAGCAGGAAGATAAGCACTTGTATCATTTGAGTGTGCAAGACAATTGAGGCCAAGAACTCGGGCACAGGTTACCTTCTAGTATAAAAGCAGGAATGACCCCACCCTTACTCTGTGTATATCTGAGTTCTCTAAGTGGATGCTTTGATGCTGGCATACCTTTATATTTATGGATTGGCCCTTGAATAAACATGATTTTATTTCCCTCCAGCTCTCCTTTCTGAAGAATTGGCTTTCAAGCAACAAGTACTGGACCTGAGACCCATAATACTATAAAGAAATGGGATATGGATGTTTGGAAAGAGAGGTTGCTCTAAAGTGTTATCCTTTGAACCAAACTGTTGCAATATTCATGGGATCATCATGCCTTCTTGTAAGAGTCTATCACTATGAAGCCTGTTGATGTTGGCACTCCCTCTGGAAGGAGGGGTGGGACGGGACACTGGATCTTAACTTGAATGTTCAGCCATTCCATCCAGGCATTTCTACATAACGCTGCCCTAACTTCACATGACCCTGGAGTCTCATGATAGAGTATATAGGCTGGAGAAAGACCAAGGGTGGCCATTCTCAGTGTGTCCAGGATGACAGCTTTGGAGTCACCCATGCTCCCATCAGTAACCCCTTCCCCATGCTCTGTATGAAAGCTCAGTCAATGCATTTCTTTCCCGGGGTGAATTAGACTTTGATTTGTTAAGACCTTTGGAGGAGGGAGTAGCATTGTTCACATTACACTCACCCCAAGGGAAGGAATTTTAGCAATAGGGATCCACAGAAATATTGACAGAAACTAAGGTTTGAAAAGTACTTTTGTTGTTCCTTGCTTGCTATTGGGTATTTATTTTTATTTGCTCATTTTTTCTCATTTTCATTTGTTCTTTGAGAATTTTGTACAATGTGTTTTGATATAATTCACTGCCTCCCCACTCTGTCCAAATCTATCTCACCTTTCTACCTACCCAACTTGCCATCTTTCTCTCCCTTTTTTTAACCAATTGCTGCCTATATGCTCTGGTTTGTGTAGCCTTCACTAGAGGATGGTGTCTACCCACCCTGGCCACACCCTTAATGAAAACTGAACCTCTACCTCCCAGAGCTGTCAGGTGTTAGAGCTTCTTAGCTAGGAGTGAGACTTCATGCCTCCCTTCCCTCTACATTCTGGAATTTTGTCTGTCATGAACCTGTACTTGTCTGTGCATGATGTCTCAAACTGCTGTGAATTTGTAAGTCTAACTATAGGTGGAGTTTTTCTATATTCCTGAAGTTGCTCCCAAATAACAGAGACTTAATATAAATTATCAATGCTTGGCCCATAGCTCAGGCTTATTATTAACTAGCTCTTACAACTTAAATTAACCCATTTCTATTAATCTATGTATTGCCATGTGGCTCATGGCTTTACCTGTCCTCCAGCATGTCTTGCTTCCCCTGTGTCTACTGGCAACTCCTCTGACTCTGCCCTTCCTCTTCCCATCATTCTCAGTTTGGCTTTCCCACCTAAATTTATCCTGTTTAGCTATTGGCCACTTAGCTTGTTTATTAAACCAATCATAGTGACATATATTCAAACAGTGTAAAAGAACATTATTAGCCAATGAGAGTAACACATATTCACAGTGTACAGAAGGATTATTCCACATGTAACTGCCCAGCTTTGTCCAGGAAAGTTTCCTTGTAGTCATCCAGCACCTCTGGCTCTTGGGATTTTTCTGTCCCCTCTTCCACCATGATCCCTAAGCCTTTCATGCATGGGTGTGGTAGAGATCCCAGTTAGGGTTGGGCATTCCACAGTCTCTTAAGGTTCTTTTTTTTCCAATGGGTGGTGATTATTCAGGTTTTGACACAGGGTCTCATGTATCCTTGGCTTTTCCAAACTCCCTATGTAGCTGAGGATGACCTTAGAGGCATGTGCCACCATACCAAGCTTATGCTGGGCATGGAATCCTGGGCTTCATGGTTGGGAGGTGAACACTCTACTAATGGAGCCATATTCCCAATCCCAAGGAATGTTAACAATGAGAAGGAACCACTGTTTGCTGAGAAAGAGCAAACGGACTGGTCTAGCGATTAATGCTCTTAATTGTTGATGATGAGATGAAGGAATAAAATGGATTAGTTGAGTGTTTTCACATCTTTACAGGGAAATCATGCCTGATAGTGTTAACTTAGCCAATTACCATGGCTACTGAGGTCCTGGATCTTAGAGTAGAAATTACTACTATCCTCAACCAATATAATTCCTAACTACATTCTAATAGTTATCCCTATATCCACAGATAAGGGTACCTCTCAGTGGTATAAAAAGAAGCTTTCTTGATGACAAGACTGAGTCTTATCTTAAAAGTGATGTCTCCCAAGACCCATACAGAATGTCTAGGATGGTCATGACAGGAGCAAAGCCTTCTAGAGCAGGAGTCCTGGTGTCAGCAGCCATGTTCCCTGTTGCTAGAGTGAAATGTTACTCATGGTGCTGATGGAGGATTTTGAAGTAACTGGACTGTCTTAGAGGCCATCTGGTTGACTGCCAAGGGGATATCTGGCTGGCAGTTCCCACTTGGGAAGGGACCTGACAACTGTTACTTGGATTAATTTTCTTATTGTTGTGACAACATGCCCGACAACAACACCTTATGGAGCAGAGATTTATTCCAACTCAGACTCGGGTTTTCAGCTCTTGCTTGCTTGGCCTGGTGCTTGGTAAAACATCACGGCAACTGAGGGATGCTGTAGGGCACACATGCTCACTGCAGGGCTGAGCAGGGATCAGAGTAGGACTAGGAATTGGAAGCTAGTACAACCTTCCAGGGCACATCCTATGGCTCTACTTCCTCCAGATGTACACTCCCCAGAAAGTTTCCACAACCTTCCAAAACAGCACTACCAACTGAAGCCCAGCGTTGGAAACATTAGCCTCTAGGGCCATTCCATATTCAAGCATAGCATTACTCCAGTGCTTGAGTAACTTGTTCAGAGAAAGAAAAAAAACTTATTAATGAGTGTGTGTATGTGAAGGACTTACCATGAAACTAACATCCTTTATAGTGCTTAATGGAGTTTCGTTTGACAAATGGCCCTAGGAAGGGCTGGGTTTCTCTAAGCCTTCTTCAATTCATATCCCAATTTGCATCCAAAATAAAAGTTGGTTGTAACTGACATTTTTCTATATTTTCACATTTATAGAACAAATATTGCTTCTACTTGTCCTGTTACAATCCCCACTGTCAATCCTTCATTCTGTCTCTGTTTAGGCTGCTTAGTGTTGGGTGGAGGTGAAGCTGTGGATTTGAGAATGGAAGGTCTTGACGTGATGAGCTCTAAACAGGACTGCAAGTAAGCATCATCCAGCCTTTGAAAACTCAAGAAGATGGAAGAATCAATCAGCAGCATGAGAGCCAAACTCTCTGCTTGCCTTCCACATCCACTCTAATGTATCTAATACTGTGGTGGCTTGAATGGGAATGACCCCACAGGCTCATGTATTTTAAATCTTCATCCCTGGTTGGTGGAACTGTTTGGGAAAGATTAGGTATGACCTTGTTGGAGGTGGTGTGACACTGGAGGTGGGCTTTGAGGTTTCAAAAGACTCTGTGAATCAAAAGACTCTCTCTGCCTCCTGGTTGTAGATCAAAATATGAACTCTCAACTGTCCTTTGCTCCACTATCATAGACTCTAATTCTCTGAAACCATAAGCGAAATTAAACACTTTGCCTTGGCCATAGTGTTTTATCATAGCAATAGAAAAGTAACTAAGGCAATTAATTCAGCCTAGGCCCCAGGCTGTTACTATGTCCATTCCACCCCCACTTCTTTGGATTCCAATAGATTTGGGATGAAGAGGTCTGGGTTGATGCACAGTTGCTAGCATTTTCTTCTACAGCTATTAGTACTTTATTGTAAAACATTAAATATTAATTAAAATTTCAGAGAAATTTTAATTAAAGTGACGGAAACTTAAAGAAAATTGAAAAGTTCTCATTTGACACCAAAATAACCTTAACCTTTTACTCATATACATGTATAATACCTTTTTTTAAAAAGCAGCCAACTATACTTTTTATTCTTTTTCTTATATAATATATCCTGATCACAGCTTCCCCTCCTAGCTCCCAGTGCCTCCCCACCTCTCCTTTCTTCCAGGTCCACTCCTCCAGCCTGTCTCCCCCTAGAAAAGAGCAGGCCTCCCAGGGACACCAACCAAACATGGAACAACAAGATACAAGAAGACCAGGCACAACCCTCACATCAAGGCAAGGTGAGGGAACCCAGTAGGAGGAAAGGGACTCCAAGTGCAGGCCAAAGAGTCAAAGACACCCCTGCCCCCACTGTCAGGAGTTCCACAAAAACACCAAGCCAATAACCATAACATAGGTGTATAGGACCTAGTACAGTCCTATGCAGGCTCCCTGATTTTTACTTTAGTCTCTGTAAGACCCCATGAGTCCTACTTAGAACTACACTTTTTGAAATTATATCCAGGCAAAGAAACTAAAACCATCCCAGGCCTTCACATACCCATGTTTTCCTTTGATAAGGCTTCATCAGAGCAAACATTTTCAACAGAACATTTTAAAGCAGCATTCCTGAAAAAGATTTTGACAGATTTAGTTTCAAACAAGTGACCCCACACATAAGGATATGCACATTCACATACACAGGCATAAATATGCATGCAAGCACATATGCACATACAAACACACATACAAATGTGTATCTCTTGGTAACTGAATTCTGTGACTGTATGTCTCCGTCTTCTGGTGTTTTTCCTTGGTTGTCTCACAAAGCACAATTCGGTGCAGAAAACAGGGAACAAATATGACCTGCGCTCTCAGTAGCTACAAAGCATCGAGAAGCCAATCCAACAAGTACTTGCACAGGTAATCTTCATGTAATTATTTTCCAAAAACATATCAAGTAATTACTGTTCTCATTATGTAAAGAAGTTGAGGAACTGGAGCTACAAGAGGAAATTAGAAGTTTGGCAGCATAGGTAAACCGCTGACCATGACAGAACCTGTCCTGTCATATGGCAAAGCCATACTTCCCCATCACACCGTGCTCCCAACAAGAGACAGAAAACATCTGTGCCAAGGCACTGTTGCCAATCAAAAGTTCCCAAGTCATGACTCTTCATCTCTTAAATGGGGATAACTGTAAATGCCCTAAATGTGTGCGACATGATTACTGTGGTGTATGACTGAGATAGGGAAATCAAAGTCCATTTTTAATTAGTTATCTAGCCGGGCAGTGGTGGTGTGCACACCTTTAATCCCAGCACTCAGGAGGCAGAGGCAGGCAGATCTTTGTGAGATCTAGGACAGCCTGGTCTACATGGAGAGCTCCGAAACAGCCAGAGCTATACAGAGAAACCCTGTCTTGAAAATCTAAAAAAAGAATCACTTATCTAGTGGATGGAGATACTTTTGCACAGGAATGACAATCTGAGCTCATTACCAAGACCCTATAAGGTGGCAGGAGAGAACTGACTCCTAACACTTGTCCTCTGACCTCCACACATGTACTATGAATGCACATGCCCCACATACATCATACATACAAAACAAAACAAAATGAAATAAATACATAAATAAATAATTTTAAAAGTGGCTTTCTTTTGCAAAGACATGACAAGAGGAGGACTATTAGTGTTAGTCTTTATCTGTGAGTGGGAATCCTAGTACAGCCCCAGTCACATACTGAAAAACACATGTGAAGGCTAGTTCAATGAGAAGCATTGAAAGTTATTATCACTTTATCATGGAGAGTTGACCCTGGCTTGTCTTACCTATTTTAAGCTAAAAACCATTTTTTACATGGCTGTTCAAATAATAATAATCTCTAAAAGTTCTGGGTTAACATGTTTATAGGACTATTAACACTTCCTCAGCCAAGCATGGTAGCTGTAATCCCAGCATCTGAGAGGCTGAGTTAGGAGGGTTGTAAGTTTGAACATAGCCAAGGCCACATAGTGAAACCCTGTTGGAAAACCAGACCAAGAAAAATAAAGCATAACTTTCTCTGTACTTCTAACTTACTAATTCTTTCAAAAAGGTTTAAGTACAATGTTTACCCAGTGAAGAAAAAAAATCAAGGAAAATGTCATTCAATAATTAAGTACAATTTATACATCTTAATTGTATCCTAATACTTTTAATTTCACAAAACATACCTTTTCCTCTTTCTAACCTTGGGCTTTTTCTTATTATTTTTGGAATAATATTTTTCAGTATTATTTTTGGAAACTTGAATCTATAAAGAAACATCAAAAATGAATTAGTTCATTGCTCTAGATCTGTTCAATATACTAAAACGGGTTTTATGTGGTTTAATAATTTAGCTGAAGAGAAACTTTGGCCTATATCCCTAAACAAGACCATTCTGTCTCGCCCTCCACTGCACAGTCTCTGTAAAGGCATTAATCTGCCAGCCTCCAGGAATAGTAGGATGGCCAGACAAGGAGCTGCTAGTTTAAATATTCTTATATGCACCTTCACCCAACCATAAAAATAATAGGATCTTTTTAAAAAAACTTTTACAAACATCTAGCTTTAAGGAAAACAGAAGCATGTAGAACGCAAAGGTGCATGGGTGGAAACTGAAGTAGTAAACCCCCTGCCCCAACAATTTGTAGTAAGGCACCACGGGAGAAACACGGCTGGCTTTTTATGGCTAGGCAAAGACAAATCCTGTGCTCTGCTGTGTCACAGTCAGACAGGGCCTGAAGACAACAGGATTTTTCTGACTATCAACAGAAACAGGCAAACTTTCCTCAACAGAGCACAAATGCAGGTGTCATAGACCTGGCCTGCCAGATGAAATGGCAAAAGCAGTGATCCTGAAATAAAGAGAACATCCAGCTAAACCACTGAAGTAGAAATCCAAAGTTATGTCTCTGAGAATGGGTTTCCAAATCAAATACTCAACACAAAGATTCTCCTAGGATTCCTAAACTAGGAAAGGCAGGAGCAATTGATGTAAAGACTCACACAGGATCTCATACACACATTCACTAGTCAAGAATAACTAAAACTAAAAGCATGCACAGGAAAAGTAAAGCCTGTAAAACAATGCTTTCAACATTTAGTTCAGTTGATGCGAAGTTCAAAAGCAAGCAAAATGAATGGACAGGCCTAGAAATCAAGACAGCGTCTGCTCTTGGAGTACTGATGATCAGCAGCAATAGATGCCTTATCAAACAGCAGTGGACAGAAAAGTTTTATCAATTAAATTACACCCCAAACTAGTACGACACAAGTTGGAGGCTGGGTCTATGTTGGCTGAGGCTATTGAAATAATTCAGCAAGGGAACTTTGGAATTGTTTGCTTTTATCAGTTGTTGAGTTCCCTGATTATCAGAAAATCATTAAAACTTTCAAAATAAAAGGGAATTTAAAAAATACAATTCTTGTGAAAGAGCTACTAAAGGATATGCTACAGAGAAGATTTAACCTAAAAGAAAAACCAAAAATGAGTGAAGATAAGCAAATTATTAAACATGATCTACATCTAAATAAACTCAAGACCCATGCAGGCTTGAGCCAGACAGACCCTAGCACAGAGAGGGGAAGAAGGCAAGAAGTCCCCCTTCCACATGACGAGCTGTGGGCAATCAGTGGAAGGCCACACATCCGAATGTATACACACATACCAACTTGAGGGTTTAACAAAATCCACAGTGACAAATAAAAGAGGGCAAAAATTGCACAGGCAGATGAGTTGATATGGGAGGCGTTGAGGAAGGGGTGAATATGATCAAAACACATCATACAGAAATTTTCAAAGTACTAATAAAAAAAGGAGAAAAATAAATATATTAACCATGATCCCTCTTCCCTACAAAGCCCAATTGAGGCTGGGTATAGAGTTCAAAACTAGAGTTTTTATACAGCAGACACAAGACCTGAGTTGGATTCCTAGCACTGAGAAAGATTTTAAAAGAAAAAACCCACTAATTTGAATAGAAGTGAAAAACAAGGAAGATTCATAATTCAAGATAATAAAATGGAAGAGGGAAAGGAATCAGACCAGGGTGAAAAGTAAATAAACAATATTGAATTATTCACAAAGAAAGAGATATAATTAGGACATTTATGACCAATAGAAGAATTTTAAAAATAACAATACAGGAGCTCCAGAAAAGTAATTGAAAAATAATATGTTCACACATAAGAATAACCCTCCAAAGAAGAGGACTGCATTATATAACATCTAGACTAGTTGGAAGAAAAAGAGGGAATTTTAAAAACATACAATCTGATAGAACCTAGGAAGAAAGGCAGAGAAGAAAAAGGGAAAAAGCATTGTAAACATAAAATGTAAATTAGATCTTATCCAGACACATTTCTAATAAGAACTGATACAAAGAGATTCAAATTCTTAGACTGCTTTAGAACAAATGCATACAATTTAAGCTAAAGGGCTCTAAGACATACAGCATGACCGTCAAAATGCTGAGTACTTTTCTGGACAGAAATCAATCATCAAAAACCTTAAGTGGAAATGTGAGGTGGTATAAAACAGTCAAAATGGTCTTGTAAAAGAAGAACCAATTTGGTCACACTATCTGATTTCAAAACTTATGATAAGATCCCACATTCAGGACATGACCAATGGAATGTAGTAAGAAGTTCAGAAATGAACTCTTATATTAATAGTCAACTGATTTTCAGCAATCAGGCTAATGAGTGTGCAAGAAAAACTGTCCTTTCTGCAAATGGAACCAGCTGAGTACCCACATATAAAACAATGAAGTTCAACCCCTACTCACATCACATATAAAAATTAATTTTAAATGGATTAAAGGTTTAAATGCAAGAGACATCACCTTTAAAACACTTGGAAGAAAACACAGAAGTAAATCTTTATAGCTGTGGTGTCTTCATTATTTTTTATTGTTGTGATGAGACACTAGGACCAAGGCAACTTATAAAAGAAAGCATTTAATTGGGGGCTTGCTTACAGTTTCAGAAGGTGAGTCTGTGACCACCATGGCAGGAAACATGGCAGCAGGCAGGCAGATATGACACTGGAGCAGTAGCTGAGAGCTTACATCTGATCCACAACATTGAGGAAGAAAGAACAAACTGAGAATGGCTTAGGTTTCTGAAACCTCAAACTCCTCGCTCCAGTGACATACCACCTACAGCAAGGCCACACCCCCTAATCCTTCCTAAACAGTCCTACTAATTAGAGACCAAGTAATCAAACATATGAGCTATCGGGGCCATTCTCATTCAAATCACCCACTGATTTTAGTTGGTAGTGTTATATGTAACATTAAAAACATAAACAACTAAAGAAAGAATAAACAGGATAACAGGATGCTATCAAGGTTAATGACTTCTGTGGTTTTAAAGGACACTACCAATAAAGAGAAGATAGCTCATAAGATTAGAGAAGACATTTTCAAATTATGTATATAATAATCGAACAATAAGAAGACAAGTCAATCAAATGTGTACAACATTTGAATGGACATTTCTTTAAGGAAATACAGGAATGGGCAATAAGAACATGAAGAGATGGTTAATAACATTAGTCATCAGAGACGTTAAAACCAAAATCACAATGAGATACCACTTCATGTTCAGTAGGACAGCTAGAAAGAAAGACCTACCCAAAGGTTGACAAGTATGTGGTGAGAGATGCAAAACTAGCTGGCTGTGAATTATGAAGGTATGCAACAACTGTTGAATAGTTTGAAAATCCCTCAACATCATGAATAAAGTTACTTAGCAAGCAGCTCTACTTAAGAAAAATAAAGGCATTCATCTTCACAAGAATTTATACACAATGTTTCTAGCTCCATTATTCACAACAAAGTAGAAACAATCCAAACGTCCATCAACAAATGAGAAAAGTGTGATATGCTTGTGCTTTCCTTTATTCATAACTTTGCTTTCTGAAGTTTCACAGTAACTAGTCTGAAACTATTACATGGAAAATTTTAGAAGTAACTTATAAATTGGTATAACTTTTATTACATAAGGTTGCTTTGATTTTTCTATCTTATTTATGTTCTTACTTGTAGCTAGAGTTTTCCTGCCTGGTCCACAGTCAGGACAAATCTCTCTCACCTGCCAGTCCCACAGCTGCTCAGACCCGACCAAGTAAACACAGAGACTTATATTGGTTACAAACTGTATGGCCGTGGCAGGCTTCTTGCTAACTGTTCTTACAGCTTAAATTAATCCATCTCCATTAATCTATACCTTGTCACATGGCTCGTGGCTTACCGGCATCTTCACATGCTGTTTCTCATCATGGCGGCTGGCAGTGTCTCTCTCTCAGCCTTCCACTTCCCAGCTTTATTCTCCTCCTTGTCCCGCCTACACTTCCTGCCTAGCCAATAGCCAATCAGTGTTTTATTTATTGACTAATTAGCAACACATTTGCCATACAGAACATCCCACAGCACTTACTCATGTTCTTTTGTGGCAAATTTACAAATTAAACTTTATCATAGGTATTCAGGTATAGAAAAAACATAGCTATCCTGAACACTATACTATCTATAACTTGAGTCTTTCACTAGGGTCTCAGAATTTATTGCCAATAAATAAGGGATGGGGGAGACTACTATATATCCATATAACAGAATACTATCCAGCCACTAAAAATGATAAAGTACAAATACTATGTGAATGAATTTAAAATCATTATACTAAGTGAAAAGTGAGAAGCCAGACAAAACTGTTATAATGCTATATGCCACCTTTTATCTGAAATGTTCAGAGACGGAAAACCCAGAGACAAACAGTTGATGAGTGACTGCTGGAAAATAGCAAAAGCAGAAGATGGACAGACTGCTAATGTCAATGGGGCTTTAGGGATGAAAATCAGTCTAAAATTACATAGCATTGTGTAGCTTGAGTTTTCCTGCCTGGCCCACAGTCAGGACAAATCTCTGTCACCCGCCAGTCCCACAGCCTCTCAGACCCGACCAAGTAAACACAGAAACTTATATTGGTTACAAACTGTATGGCCGTGACAGGCTTCTTGCTAACTGTTCTTATAGCTTAAATTAATCCATTTCTATTAATCTATACCTTGCCACATGGCTCGTGGCTTACCGGCATCTTCACACGTTGTTGCTGTTTCTCATCATGGCGGCTGGCAGTGTCTCTCCTACTCAGCCTTCCACTTCCCAGCTTTATTCTCCTCCTTGTCCTGCCTATACTTCCTGCCTAGCCAATGGCCAATCAGTGTTTTATTTATTGACCAATCAGAGCAACACATTTGCCATACAG